AGCATACGAGATGAGAGACATTCCCGTGAGGCTGTGCTCTATGCCATGCAAACCTTTAAAAAATATTTAAACACCATCTGCTGTTTGGAAGGCAAACAAAAAGCCAATATATTTCCGTTGTGCCCTGAAATTTCACACCGCTAAACATGTGGGCAACCGTTTTTTCCTTTCCCGAGGCCATCATCGGGCTGTGTACCGCACAGGCCTGACAGTAGTACGTTTCGGAATATGGGTGAGCGTCCACTTGTATTTTGAGTGGGAATTGTCATCCGACTGTACGCAGGGCCGTCATTGGAAGCTAACGAGAGGAAACGGTACAAAAAAGCGCGAGGAAGAAGAATGCCGACAACAGATCCCTTCCCAAGCCGAGGCAGATGCTTTTACCCCTCTAGCAGCGTCACTTCACGGAGGTCTCGCCTTCCTCTGGATGCCAAGGTCTAAGAGTCACACCAGGCCAGATGACTGGGCTGTGACAGATTACACTGAAAACGAGGAATACCAAGCATAATACGTGGGGGGCTTTGGGACAACATAATGCAACAGAACAGCTTTAAGAGCCTCGGAGGGCAGTTGGCTCTGTTTTGATGTGACACAGCACATAAATGTGCTTTTTCTGCTAATGGCCGGGGTCTCAGAGCACAAGGTGGGCGATTTAGAGTTGTTGTGGGAAGGTAGTTTCTTGGAAGGCACTGAACAAAATGGGCTTTCCCTAGGAGAGGTCGTTCATTCCCTGGCACCTGGCCTGCTTGAAGGGTCCTACTACCTTCCACTATGGAGGGTAGCAGCTGCTTTTTTCATCTGGTGGTCTGAGCTCCCTATTTCTTCTTTTTTTTTTTTTTCCCATTCTGGGGCAAAGAAGCCACGCTTGTTAGAGCAGCTGTGGCACTCATTGCTTAGGCTGGCGAGAAGCAAGGCAGATCTATCAAAGCCTACAAATGTGTCAGCTGTCCACATTCCGTGCAGGGGGAGAGCGAAAACGGGAGCTACCTGCCGTTTCAGTTGCACAAGAAGGATCTGTCTGAACTGGGATTTTTGTGCAGATCTCTATCATAGAAAGTTGCGTACTGAACCAGTGAAAGCAGCAAGGATACCACTACATCAGCAATTACTCGAACAAATGAGAACTGTGCTGTAACTGCTGTAAACTGCTCGGTTTCAGATTGAGCAGGATCAAGAAAATACAAGCATTAGTTTGCCAGGTTTGCCAGCAGCCAATACCCAGTAGTAGGACCATCCAAGCAATGCATACACAGGTGTGTTTGTGGTGGTGAATTTGAGCCATTCCCTTTCACAGACAGGCATTCTTGATTTTCGCCCACGTATCCAATACATCTCCTTATAGATTCTGGGTTTAATTTAGAAGTTTAAGGTTAAATTCTGAAATAAGCATATCTAACTTCTTATTAAGAGGTACGTCACAATGGAGTTTGACATGCAAGCAGAAGACACTTTGCACTTGAGACCTGGAATGATTTACCGGCAGGGACAATGGTTGGTCTGAAAACAGTTCAGGGCATCAGTCGTTTCAGGGCTGGGAGAGGGACTTCTTCTTAGGGAAACAGCAAGAAAAGGACACTGAGTCTTCCCGGGAAGGAAATGCTTTACAATCATAGAATCATAGAATATTGTTTAGGTTGGAAAAGACCTTTAAGATCATCAAGTCCAACCGTTAACCTAACCCTGCCATCCCATCACTAAACCATGTCCCTAAGCACCCCGTCTACCTGTCTTTTAAATACCTCCAGGGATGGGGACTCCACCACTTCCCAGGGCGGCCCGTTGCAGTGCCTGACAACCCTTTCTATGAAGAATTTTTTCCTAATGTCCAACCTAAACCTGCCCTGGTGCAACCTCAGACCATTAATCCCTAGTAGCCTCCCCAAACCACCGCACATGTTTGAGCTGCCTGCCTATCAGATTCTGAACTGCCAGGTGAAGGTGGTGTATTTTTAGGCAAACCGCTATTGTTGCTTTATTCAAAAGTTTGAAGGCCTAAGAAACAGCTGAGTGTGGGCTTAGGCACTAGAAAAGCCATTTCTTAAAATTTTATGGGATTTTCAAGTTTTATTTGGCTGTGGTCTTTGCAGGGTGTGCACATACAGTTGGCGAGCCACAGGGCAGGTAAGTTGTTCAAAGGTTGTTTAGGGAACCATAGTTATCAGTTACATCCAAACAGCCTTTATAGTGTTTTCATTTAAAAGTGTGATGTAAAAGGTACGTGACGACAAACAAGACATTTTAAGAGTCTGACGGTGTTCTGTAATGCAAAAAATGTAGGAAGCACCAAATTCTGTGCTTCAGATTCCAAGTATAACAGGGCCCCGGGTACTTTGGTCTGTAACCTGGGTATTAATTCACTCCCTTTTAAAAAGTTTCAGGATGATTCTGACACTGAAGATGAGCATGAACTGTTAGTACTTTGTACGAGAGAGCATTGGAGGCCTATCAGATTTCTGACAAACTGCCGTATTGTTTAGGAGTGCAAAACCTGGGAACTCAAAACAGTTTATATTTTGGGCAATAGAAATGTATTTCGGTTGCAATGAAAAGAGACAATGGTTTGATCATGATAGACATGGGCATTTTCAATCCTTGTAAAACATGTCGGTCAAAAGAACCCTAAAAAGCCATCAGCCAACCCTGAATTAGTCTGGATAGCTTCTTACAGAAGTACACAGTTAAAGCAGCTTGGAAATCTACTGTGTGGCAGGGCAGTCTGCAGCTGCAGAGCTCAGGTGTAGCACACTGCACAAGTCCTGCCACACCATAATTAAGGAGGTCGGGTTTCCCAGGAATGCGTGTCTTAACAGGTGAATGATGTTTGCCTAGGAAGATAAAAAAATCCAGCTGCATTTTTTTCCTTAGTGGAGTTGGGTGGGGATTTTCTAAGTTCCTCCATGGTGTCAATTCTCCATTGTTCAAGGAGAAGTGGACTTTCACTGCCACCCTGTCTTGCTGAAGAGGCTATCAGGTCTCTTTTCTGCAAGCCCCCTATCTTCAAAAGGCAGTTGGAGCTTATCTCTGGGATCCGTACCTTGCCCCCATCCATTTCTGTTGCAATTGACCCCCAGGTTCAAAAGTTCCTGGGAAAGATACAGGCTTGTAGGTACATGTGAACATGGGAAAGCAGAAACATCATTTCCTCAGGCAACCAGCTAAGAGCTGCCCCTTTTGGACGAGGAATTCTTTTTCACTGCCGTTCAGACACGGTGAGCACATTGCCTTCGCCAGAGGCTCGGCTCCTACCCACCCAGCTGGGAGAGAGGGCCAGGTCAAGTAATCAGCCAGGTCTTGGTCATGGAACAGCATGGGAAAAAGTCACGTTCCTCATCTGTAATTAGACTGTAGTCATAATTAAATATAAATTACGGGAACACTACGGGAGGTACGTAGTAAACTACACCAAAGCTGAGCCTATCTGATACTGCCAAAGCAGCTCATGGTCACCCTTCAAAATCAGTTTCCAAATGTGAAACAGCCCCAGGTAAGAACAGCTGGCAACATCAAAAGAGAGGGGAAAACTTAAAAATTACACAAACCCCTACTCAATGGAGTTTCTTTTTTAGCTATTCCTTGCCATTCTGGTTATTTTTACCTTCCTTGTGTACTGTGTACCTGTGAACAATCTTGATTGGATTACTGGAGATGCTTATTTCTTTGCTCCCTGGTTGCAGCTTTTCCTCATTGATGGATATGGATTAAATAACAAGAATTATGGAGGAAATCTCTCCATGATGCTTTTATTGAAACTTTTTTAAATTAAAAAGATCTTATAAGATGTACAGGGGATAAAATCAGGTAATAAAAACAACTCAGAATTCTGGTTTTCATCATTATCCTAAACAGAAATTTGCAACCATATGCTTCAGTCATACACCTATATACAGAAAAATAATTACAAATCACATCATAAGGACAATATCAAAATACTATATACTAGCACTGAAATTAAAAAAAAAAAAAAACCTTATATTTTCCTTTCATATCTTTCTTTTCTTTCTTGCATTTCTCACCCTCCTGCTATGTTTTGTAGAAATGTATTAAGCTCTTTGGAGTAGGCAGCTGCCATCCTAATAGTTAGGAACTCCAAAAGCACCCCACAAAGCTGAGTAAGTGCCCAGAGGAACTTTGGTGTAGATAAATGGCAAGGAATATTGCATCTAGGGAAAATCCTCATCTACACCACCCCTGAATGATGCTGAACCTGGAACTGGTGGTTGCAGCTCTGGAAAGAGCCCTCAGACCCACGCAGGCAGTTCTCTGAAACCATTGCTGCAGGGTGCAGTGACGGTCAAAAAACCAAAGCCAATACGATATGGGCATACCAGGACAGGTGTGAAAACAAGGCAGAAGGTGTCATTTTGCTTCCATATAAAGCCTGGTGCACCCACAGCTGGAGGGCTGGGACATTTCAGGCCTCCCCGTCTCCAGAAGGACACAAAGGAGTTTGTAAGGGAACAGAGAGAGAAGGGCAATGAAAAGAAATCAAGGATGAGCCACCTGCCTTGCCAGGAGAGGGCAAAAGGCTGAGACTTGTCAATTTGCAGGGGAGACACCTGAGGTACGATATGGTCGAGGTTTACAAAATCATGAAGGTGGTAGATAAGGTGAAGGCAGAACTGTTGTACCAAATCCTGCAATGCTAAAACTAAGGGGTGCTCGGTAAAACAAGTAGGAAGGTAGTTTAAGAGAGATCCATGAAAGTACTTTTTGTAAAAAATATACACACACACTGGATAGTGAACTTTAAGAACTTGCTGCTACAGGAGGCTGTGGACACCAGTAGTATCAGCAGGTTCTGAAAGGAGCTAGACCATTTCAGGGATGACACATGATGATAAACAAGTAGAGGAAGGAACAGTCAGGGGTGTGCTGTGAAGCATCCCTAGTGCAGCAAATGTAGGTGCTGGGGAAGTGGAAGGGGAACCAACTGCAGATAGCGGCTAGGCTTTCATGCATCTGCTAAACTATCTCCTACTGCCACTGCTCTGTTTTCATTTTTAAAGGTATAAATACAGTCTTTCACTGCAAATTATGCACTCAGCTTCTCCACATTTGGGGAAATCACAGGAGTCAGCATACCTGGAAAGCAAAGAATATCCTTACCCAGGAAGGCTGCATTACTGATCTCAGTCTATCCCCTGTTGGGTAGATAGGGCTAGGTGGACCCATTAGGGCATTTCTTATATTCTCAGCCTTTAGTCTCATCCTATGTTTCATTTTTCATTCCCAACTTTGTCCTCTATTTTGTCCTCATTCTGCCACCAATTTATTTTCCACGCCCTGTTTGTGAGGTTTGAGATACCTGTTTTTTCTTACTGCATTTCCCAGATCACTATTTCTATTAATGTGCAGTAATACAATCCAAAAGTTGACAAGGCTTACAGTTGAAGACCTCTAAGACACGGCTATGGCTTTACCACTTATCCCGTAGCCTCAGGGTAAGCCAAGCTTACCACATTTTATAACTTTAGAAGAGAATACTAATTCTGTAAAAAATTATTTGCTGAGTATTCCATCTTCCTCCTTGTCATCCAGCTTTTTTTCCTTTCCCCCTGGTTTTCTCAGCCTACTTATTTTTCAGATGGGGTATAGCTTCACAGAAGAGAGCAACATTGCTCTGCCTGGCCACTTAGTTACTTCCCACTTCCTTCTCCCTCTTCCTTACGCTTTCCCTTTCTGAAGTGCTATGCTGACACTGCATGATTATTCACACCCAAACTCCGAGGCTTTTTTACCCTTCAAGAACAAAACCACCTGCAATGGAAGGAGTTAGTATCGACTTCCTGATTCGGACCAGCCAAGTTACCATTGAGAAAGCTTCTTGTAAATCTTTTGCCTGCAGAAATCCGATTCATAGATTGTTTGCAACAGATCTTTGAAATTTTTGCAGGGAAAAAGCCCTAGAGGGCAAAGATCTATGCTTTTCTGTGTCCCATGAAATTCTATTCAGGTCTGACAGAGGGAGAAACTGGGAAAAAAAATATCCTTTTTTCCTATGGCTTATGTTGGCAGCAGCACTCTGGCAGCCATCCAAGGGGACCGGCCGTGGGCATTCTCATCCCAGGCAGCATCCACTGCACACAGCGTTGTGCTGGGAGCCTGCCACTCTGGCTGTAGCTAAAAAACTGTTGTGAAAGTGAAGTTTGGAGACAGCAGAGAGAAAAAAAACCCCAAACCACGCTCTGTCATAGCTCTCTCTAAACCCAGTACATAGTATCTCTTTGATCTCTTCCTTTATGGGCTCAAGAGCACCCTTATTTTGAAGAAAATTGAGCCATACTCCCCTGATGATCACCTGTGCACTGCACGTGGTCTGAATCTCAGCAGAGATTTTTATGAGTATCTTGGGGCCTTTTCGTTTAGGAGGAAAAATGTACTTCCACATAGGCAAAATATTTTTTCCTTTGGGAAAAGGCATTTGTGTGCTATGCGTGAGAGTATTTTCAGGACTGCTGCCCTATTTGCTCTCACTATTGGAATGTCAATGGAGAATGTAACAGAAGGCAGGAAAATGTGGGAGGAGGATCTTGTTATCAGGACAGGAGATTGACACACAGGTGAACAAATTGTTATTTACTTTGTAGTAAAGTGCATTCCCCGGTGATGCTTTGCTCACTGTTCCCACATGAGTCCAATATGCTCAGCTTCAGGTTTTTTTTCAGCCATCAGTGCTCATCTGGAGACAAGACTTTGCCCTCAGTTTTCTCACAGCTCCAGGTGCCCAGCAACATCAAACACACCTCTCTGCTCCTTCACCAATGTAAAATCCATATGTTACCATAGGAGAGGAGGAAAAACAAGGATTATGGAAATTTGTAAACACTTTTTAAAGAACTGTGAATACCTATTCTTAGTATGTATTTTTACGGATGATGACTCCAAATCAGAAGCTCTGTCTGATGCTGGCAAAGTCCTTTAGCACAAGTGACACGAAAGCACCTAGCAGAACTAAATTCTGAAGATTATATTTTTACTGTAAATTAAGGAGGACAAAAGCCAAGTTTTCTGTGAGGAGAAGAGCCAGAAGTAACACTTTGTGATGAATTCTAAATAATTTCTGCTTTAGTTGCTGTAGAGCTGGGCTCTGGGCAGATGTATTGGCTTCTTTAGAAGGAACTTAAGAAAATTAGGGCTCTGATGATGAAGAAAGGGGAATCTACTTCAACATCTCTTGTGGGAACAGATAGCTGTATTGCCTGTCACTTGGACTCTGAACTACCCACTTATAGTGCAGTAGTTTTAGGCTAAATTAAAGCCATCCCTGTTTCTGGCAGTCCACCCAAACCTCTGTGCACAGGCACAGGAACAGAGGAGCATCTCTGAGGCCAGCCCAGGGCAGGACTACACACACTGGTGTCCTTACTGTGCTGACACTATGGGTCATTCAAATCCCCCAGACTCCCCTGCTGTTTTGGGTTCTTTTTGAGGAAGATTTGCAAATACCACTGTGTCCATCCTGTGCTCCACACCCTCAGGCTTTCGGCATGCCTGTGCTCAGTCATTACAGTTTTGGATAAAGGACAACTCTTAGACAGGAGGCTTGAGTTCAGTCGTAATAACTGATTCTTTCACATAAGAATGAAACAGGATCAAGCATTTTCTTGTTTCAGAAGAAAGGAGATGCTATCTCAAAAACTCCTAACTTAGCCTTGATATCTAATAATTAACTGCTAATTACTTATTTACAGTCATTGTCAGAACTATGGGTAAATCATACCATGAGTGGACAAGCTGTGACTCACAGTACTGGGCCTGATGGTGGTTGTGTTGTCCCTCCTTCTGTGCCTTTGGCTGGAAGTATGAAGGTAATCACAGAGCAGATATAGCCCACAGCAGTTATACCTGTCCAGAAGCTCAAGAATGTGAAGGGCATGCATGCCAGGAATGGAATGTATATAGGGAGACACAAACCTCTGCTGTATAGTTACAGCCAGTGCCCAGCTGGTCAGGTAAACCAAGTTTTTGGCAGTGATAGTTAATTCTGTTTTCTCATCTCGTGAGTTTCTAATGCAAATCATCTCACATAACTTTAGACACCAATGGTATAGAGGTCTACACCTGAGCTCGTTACCTGAGTTTCCTTACAACCAGTCGACAGATTTAGACATTTTTGGGGCATAATCACTCTAGATATGCTGGGGGGGCAGCGAGAAGCTCCAGCAAAGTTCCTAGGTTTCCCTTATAAAAAATAGGGATATTTTGCCTTTGATCTTTCAGAGGGGATGCTTTAAACTACTCCATTAATAGAGTAATGGGTGCCCTAAAAGAAAAGGAGAAAATTACTAGCTTTTTAAAAAGTTATGAGAAATATATAATTTTTTCCTAGTCTGACTTTCACCTTCCACAGAAGTGAAAAAGATGTTTCCTCGATATGTCTGGGTTGTTCTGCGACTGGCAGGCACCGTGGAGTTTGATAAGGATCTGTCTTACTGGGAGTGTGAGCTCTTAACAAGAGAATTGCGCTTTGTAGCTTGTATTTAACAACTGGTTGAAGCCAGAACCTCTTAAAGCCATGCTTCCCAGAAACTTCCCTCTGGATCCTGAAATTAAACATTAACATAATAAGGAAGTTCAGATACTAACTTAATCTAACTTAATGAACACGTACACGTTCAATTAGTCTCTGAGGTACTCTGCACTGATTCATGGAATTGGAAATCTCTCCCAGAGTATCAATACTCTTGCTGTCAGATGGCAGCAAGTCTGTTAGTTCCAGTTGTGCTGTGTCCTGAAACTAATTCATCTCCACCTGCTGCGCGGCTGTCGGCTGTGAGAATTTCTCAGGTAAGTTGGCTGTGTTGGTTCTCCTCCTTTGGAGAAAGTCGCGCTTATTCCTCTGTGTATGTCCACCTGGTGTGTCAGGTTTGTCTCTGACCACAGGATTTTGTTTGTGACATTATTGCTGTTTGCAGTCATTGCTTTTCATTATAGGCATTCTCACGGTTGTTTTTTACACAATGGTGACGGCTCCCAGTACCCCATATTATGTTTCCCTTTTACCTTCCCCCCACCCTGTCTTTTTTCACCATGTATCTGCTGGTTGCCATGACTTTGACATGAGCTCCTAATAGGCACTCAAGAGCAGGGACTCGGGCTTTCAGTTTTCCGTTGAATAAAATGTCAGCAAGTAAGAAGTCACGAAACGTTGGTACCGCTCCGTTATTTAACGGTACCAAGTACAGATCAGAATTGGCATCCATTCCTGTATATTCTTTAATGAATTTTCTGCTAGCCTTCAGAGGCTGGAGATAATGGAGGTTATGGTTGTATGACTAAACTTGTATTTTAGAGCAGAACAGTTAAACACGAACCCGATAAATGTCGGACGTTACTGTATCAGGTATACCAGGCCTAGCATATCGAATCAAATTTGGGATGTCATCTTTCCAAGCTGTTATGTTTTCTAGCAACACTATCTTAGGAAAATGAGAATAGTCTAAATATATATCTAGAAGTAAGGGGCTGCTGACTGTTTATTTTCCTTTTCCAGCCAGGACATGCAAGTTTGTTTCTCCTTTGCACTGCTGAGCCATGTGACAAGCCTTACCCCTTCCTTAATGGCATCGTTTGTTTAGGATCAGGACAAATCGCTGGTCCTTCTCTTAGTGTTTTCAACCCCTCAATCAGTTTCCTCTGTCCATTTTGTCATTTTTCAATAACATCTTAAAAATGACCACTCCAGTGTCTCTAAGCATCCATCTGGCACTAAGAGCTTCCCCCAAATCTAGTGTGATAAAGATCATGAGTAAAGATGGGCATAACGCGCTGGGCACGGTATGTAAGTAGTTTTAATTACATTTTGTAAGAAACTTGTTTGTAAGAGCAGTTTTGACAATCAAAGTTCATATTCTGTTTTTACTGTTGCTTTTTATCTGCCTGATTCACATAAAACCTGACTCTGGACTTTGAACCACGGCCCTGTTGTTAAATAAGAGAGTGTGCCTCTGACCTCCAAAACTTTCCTAGATTTAACCTGCAAATCCTGTATCTGTACCTGAATATCCCTCCTTAAAGCACTATTTCCCAGGTCCCTGTGGCTGACAGTCACTTTCAGTTAAATCTGAACTCTGGGGAGTGGGAGCGTGCACCTTTCCAGCCGCGGGGCTGTCGCCCGTCGCCTCCCTCTCCTTCTGAGGGCATCGGCGTTTCGTTG